GAGCTGGGCTGTTCGAGTACAGCTTTTCAGGTCCTTTTAAACAAAATGCAGACTGTGCCACTGGTTATGTTCTGAAACGTGAAAGGATATCATTCACCGAACAGCCACATCTCTCCGAAGGGTTGCAGACCAGGGATTTGTTTCCACAGGGCAGGACATAGAGGGTGGACCAGAGGAGTGAGGGTAGGCACCTGACTGTTTCTGATTTGTCCCTGCCATGCTTCTGAGAGGCTGTTGGACTAGTATCAGAGCATGCTTTTCATGGACAGAGTTGATGGTTGTGGATGGAATGCTGTCCTGTTTCAGAGCCAGGTCAGAACCAGGAGGAGAAGGCTTGGAGTGAAAGTGTTTAAAACAACAGGGCCAGCACTGTCCTGCAATAGGTGATTATCAGCTTCAATGTGGCCCCTCAGTGGACACCGTACCCCTGCTGAAAATAACATTGGTTCTGGCCCTACCTTCAGCATGCCAGAATCTCTCCACCCTTCCTTATTTTTAATCATTGCTGTGTTTTGCTCTGATGGGTTTTGCTGGCAAATGCCTGACACAGCTTGCCTTGGAGCAAAGCTGATGTTAAAGGCATGCACATTTATTTGAGAGAAAAAGTTGGTTTTCCTCCTGTTCCCTCCTTCTCTATTTTCAAAAAGTCTGTGAAGGCTCCAGCCCTGTCTTAATCCAAGCTCCTCTGCAATTGGTGCAACCAGTGCACTCTCTCCAGACGTGTATGCCAGATGAATTAATGTTCCTTGGGGAAGGAACATATGCATCCAGGGGAGTCTGTGTGGTACAGAGCATATGCTGTGCATCAGTCTGGTAAAAGTGAAAGGCAGTGGCAAGCTGGGTTCACTGGAGTGGCTGTGATGAAGACAGCACTTAGGGTGAGTTGTCACACCCTGCCACTCAGTGTCAACTCTGAACATCGCTTCTTTGTTAGCAGCTGGGCTAATTGCTTGGTGCTTTTGCTCCATAAAGGAGAATGCTAATAGGCATTTTTTCCTTGGGATGAAACAGAGAGTTTTTTCTCCATGGCTTTCAACAAAATGAAGAGCATACCAAGGTTTAAGACATCATAAATTCAGGCTGAGGTTTCCTCTTGAAGCGTAGTTGGTTGGGATGGTGGACCACTGAGATATGAGGTGTCTGTATCATTATCATTATGTTACTGGCCTTGCTGTGTTTTTCTGGAAATTGCAGCCATTCTTCAGTCAAACATTACTGTGTAGAGTTTCAGTTTTGGTGGGGCCTAGAATGGGAGATGGGGGCTGTAATTGAATCTAGAATATTCACAAACAGATCAAGTGTGATAAGTGCTGAGCATGGCAAGATTGAGGTAGTTTGACATAGGGAGCTAAATGGCTGTAGAACTGGTCTGTAATGGAATAAGTGAAGAAAACAGTATAAAATGCCTAGCAGTTACGGTGTATTACAGGAAAGCTGGAAAGCCTGGCAGAGCTCAGAGTCTACAGCTTACATGTTTTATCTGTGAGCTTGGAAAGCTGTTAGAAAGTATTGCATTTACCACAGTAGCTGCTTATCAAATTCCTGTAATTTCTGCTGGATATGGTGGTCACAACCTCGGTGCATTCCATGTGGTTGTGGGGATGCTTTAACAGAAGGAGAAAGGGCGCATCAGGAGTGTGTTGCTGGGGACAGAAATACTATAGTCTATAAACCTGGTTTCTGGCCAAAGCTCATGTGCTGTGAGACTAAAGAGGTCTGGAGTTTTTTTGTAGCTTCTGTTTTCTGTGTTTACTGATAGCAGAGATTAATGTAAGTGTCTCTAGATTAAAATCAGCAGCCATTGCTGGACAGGCAATTACTAGCAAGATCATTACAATCGCTTTTAGCTTTGAATCTAGGATGAGGGGGAATATAATCTATTACATTTTTTCAGCCTGTGTTTTTCAGGAGTAAAGCTGCATGAGAAATCCATGTCCAACCTTGGTTTGCATCACAAAGCCCTTTCTTGGCACTTGTTTTGGTGGTAATGCTGCTGTGGATTCTTTATGTGTAGAAACTGTAGACTGCAGAAGAGAGACCTATTTTCAGCCTTGGTTGCTCTTAGCTCTTGATTATAATTCATTATTAGCACTTTTCAGAGGGAGGCAAGCATTACTGAGTTCAACAGATTAGTAAACTGAGGTAGGAAGGGAAAATGATGGACCTGAAAAGTGCTGAAAGTAAGAAGAGACATCAGTAACACCTGATTACCTGATAACACCTAATACCTGAGTAACACCACTTGGACCCTGCTAAAATATCCTGCCCTGAAGGCAGCTTGCACAGTAGCCAGGCACAGGTCATCTGCATTTCCTAAGCCCTCAGTGATATGAGCACTGAGTCTTCAAACTACCTAAAGCCACTTGAGAACTGAAGTCTCACTTTACTGCTAAGAATCTATAATTTCCCCCGAGCAAGAGGCTTATGTTACAGACGACCAGTATTGATTTGACAGCCTTTTGGTACTTGTACTTTGTGAGCACAAAAAGTACTCACTTAGTACTTACTTTTTGTACTAGGTACAAAAAGTATTTACTTAGCCCTCCCGTTGTACTAAGTAATATGCTAATCAACTATCAGAATTAACTACTGGAATAGCAGAAGGAAGCATCCCTTATTCTTCAGTGCATGTATGGGCACCCTCAGTCAGTATGAAGCTTTAGAATGGAGAAGTTGGAAGATAGTTTTTCTTATGCAGCCCTGTTGACTAGTTTTGGCAAACAGGGGAAGGAGCACGCCCTCCCTCTTGCTGGGTGTTCCTCCTTCGCATCCCAGACATGGCTCCGAGAGGCAAAACAGAAGCTGGGAGCTGTTGTACTGTTAATTTCACTACGGGGCAGATGCTGGTGCTTCCTTTCTTTCTAAACTTCTGGTGGTTTGTGGTAATGTCAATCTCATAGTGCAGTAGTGCCTAGCAGGGTACAGATGTTTCTTGTCAGCTTTGGCCATCTTTCAGGGCTATAAATACTACCTTTAATAAAGAGCAGTGGTGAAAGAGGACTGTGATATATAGTGAGGTGAGGCTCTGTGAGTTGGCATGGCTTTTGAAGCAGCATTTTTACATTAAAGACTCCGTAGATTTGTTAGCTCACCTGGGTATGCTTTGCCCTTGTCAGTTGTTAGAGATGGGAATTTGGAATGAGTCATGCCTGATTTGAATGGACAGAGTGTTGCTCAGGGCTTGTGTCAGGGTACTCTGTTATTAGCTTTCTTCACAAGTTTGGTATAGGCCAAATTTAGAGAATTTCAGACATTTGCTAGTGGCTTTGGATAGGGCTAAGGAGGCATTTTCCACAACAGTGATGTCAGGAGGGTCTTTTTTCTTTTCTAGGATGACTGATGGCCAGTAATATTAGTGTTGTTTGAATTGTATTTACAGTATTTATTTCCTACTAGGCTTTGAGACTGACTCGCTTTTGTTATAGCAAGATTTTATTTATGCTGAAATAATTGCAAACCAGTGCAAATCCCCAGTTCTTGCAGGAACCGGTTTTCCCAGATACTTGATAAAGAAGTTGTACCCACAGGGTAAATGTGTGATATTTCTGATGTTGTAGAAGCACTGAAAGGATGGAATCAGAGGTAAAATGGGCAAATCTCTGTTCTGTACATGTTCTTCTATTAAACCATGCATGAGAAGTGAGGTAGGAAGCAGGTGATAATTTGTGGCATGCCGAATACCTAATTTTTTTCTTTTAAGCTCACCTTATATGAAATCTCATCTTTGAGGAGTTAATGAATGACTAGCAGACATTTGAGTAAATGGCTAGACAATTGTTACTGGAGCACAGCGATCAGTTGTTTTAACCATGGCTTGTCAAGTCTGAAAATTACAGTGGTATGTGAAACTGTGGTATGTTGTTTAAAGCGCTGTGTGTACAAAGTCATGTTTAACTCATTCCATGCATATCTGTCCTGTGCATGACCCTTGCTGATCATTCGTTATCCCTGCGTAAATGGCATTTTAGTAAAAAGAGTTTCTATATAGTATAAAAATATAGAAATAAAAATAGAAAAGTTGTCAAGTGCACACACACACACACACATACACGGAATTGAGATTTTGCAAAAATTTTCATGCCAGTGTCTGAGAAAAGCTTCTAAAGTTAAAAATCTGCCTTTGTGCAGGGGTGTGTATGTGGGGGTGTGCTTTTTGGTGCGGCGGGCTCTTGCCTCTTTCATGGGAGAAGCAAAGCAGGCACACAGCTCAGCCAGAGCTCTCCTATTGTATTAGAGGTGGGAGGAATGTGTAAGTGCAAGATTTATCTGAAATGCCTTGGGATTGCCATGCTGAACATTTTGACTTTCAGCAGCTGGTGAGGGAAATAATTTTCACCATGAGGGAGCAGGAGGGAAGCAAGGAGTTCTCCAGACTGGCATGGGTGGTTTGTGTCTCTCATAATCCAAACTGGGTTCCTTGCTCTGAGTCCTGCATTTTCTAGCAGTGCCTCCCATGGGATGTCACTGCTTATGGGTGACACAGATGCCACTGAGAGTTCTGGTGATACTGTTTTAGATTTAAGGAATTGCGTTGTTTCCAAGACAACTGGGGAACAATGAGGAAGGGACTTGTTCTGACTCAGCTTGGAGTAACTGGTCACCATAGCTTAATTACTGCATTTCTCCTGGAAAATGGTTAATTTCCTGCTTTTAAAGAGGCCTCTTCAAGCCAAGCAAACAATTGGGTTAAAAAATACTAATGCAAGAAACATTAGTGCAGTTGCAGTTGTAGGCTGATAATAGCAAAGAGCTCTTTCTGAAGTGAGCCCGAGTTGAGGATACTTAGCACAGTCAGAAGAAAGTCCATGTTGTTTGTCTGTTAGTTAAAAGTCCTTAACTTCTGCTAAGTCAATGTCCCTATTCTACACTGCTGCTTCAGTTAAGTGGATTTTGTTAACACTGTGTCATCTTGCCTCTGTACAGTTAATTGCTGGCTGTTCTAAGAGGAAACTCTAATGTTATCGTATTTTTCTTCTTTCCATATTCTTTTAATCTCACAGCAATGTTGACCTACAGAATGTGGTGTTAGACTCCAGTGCAGCCATGGGGAGCAGTGAACTTCAGGAGAAAGATGCCACTGGAGCCCTTGGCCACGACCTCAGCAATGGCAGCAGCAGCAATTTGGAAGCAGCCAGGCGCCTGGCTAAGCGCCTCTACCATCTGGACAGATTCAAACGCTCTGATGTAGCAAAACATTTGGGTAAAAAGTATGTGCTGATATGAGGACATGCTTGGCCACATTCTTATTGATGGTTCTGGCAGGGTTCACTCTTGAATGATAACCTTTACTTATTTCTTCGCTTTTCTTTAGCAATGAATTCAGCAAGCTTGTGGCTGAAGAATATCTTAAATTTTTTGACTTCACAGGCATGACGCTGGACTGTTCTCTCAGGTACAATTCCATTTGTGGACTTCATATTCTTATTTTTGTAACAGTGCTGTTTGCAGTTGTCCTGATTTACATGACTGTCCTTTTGGGATGTAAGAAGATGAAGAGAGGACTGTGATGTATTTTGGGGGCAGAGCTTTCCTCTTCTGTTTGGCTTGGTGTGCTGCCCTACTCCTAATGCTACTGGAATGGTGCCACGTGGAGAGGGAAGTATTTAGGTGGACCTCCCTAGGGATGGTCCTTGAAACATTGGAGAAAAGGGTACAGTCACTGGCAAAATAGGGGACTTGTAGTCTGCCAGGTGCTAGTGAGGAATTACAGTGTTGCTTGTAGCTGATCTGCACAGACTGTGGCTGATGCCTTTTAGAGCGTACCCTGCTTTGCTGCACTGCACTAAGACCTGGTGGTGTGGTTTGGCAGTTCCTCTCTCTGTGTCTCCCTGAGGAATCCAGAAATGTGCAGAACAGCAAATGCTTCTATGTGGAAAAAGCTGTAGTGAGTTTGGTAACTGTCGGCGTGGGTGTTTGAAGACCCAACCCTTCCACTTTCTTTGCGTTTTACATTGGAATCAGACCTCAACAACGTTTATTTTCAGTGGTTTTTTTCAGAAGTCAAAACACCAAGTTTGTGTAGCAGCGGCCTAATAGCACAGTTGCTGGTGTTCTGGTGTTTAAGGGGATTTAAATGAGTTTAACTCATTTGACTGAGGTTACTTAAGTGGGAATTTTTTTTCTAATGAAAATCTAGAAGATGTGCACGCACTTCTTAGCCCCTTTGCAAATGCATTTCTGTGGGTCTGATGCCATGAGACCACAACATATCAAAGGCACCCACAAAGTTCTGCCCGCTGAAGGCGGTGGAAATGGAACATGCCTGCACAAACATGAACCACCTGGTCCTGAGGCAGGGGGATTGGAGCCAAGCTGGAGTACCTGCTCAGCGTGACGGGTGGGAGCTGCTGGGCAGTGGGAGGTCTGTTGCTCAGTTCCAGGTTTCAGCAACCCTGAAGCAGGATGCTAAATATACCCTTCTTTTAAATTGTGAAATCCAACACATAATTGCTTTGTGGCATATATTTAGGAGGTCTCTGCTCCCTGTAGATCTCCTGTTAATATTAGTATTTAGGACATCCTCTAAAATGTGTGCAGGCTCATGTAGGACTTAAACAAGCGAAGGGTTTGTTGAGGTTTCAAGAGTAGCTACAGTAATTGCCAGCTCCATGCCCTAAGCATGCAACAGCATCTGGGGACAGAGAATCGTTCCAGAACCTTAGGAAACTGAGGCACGGTACCTCATGCTTGGCAGAGAGTGAGAGAAAACAGTGCTGTTGTTGCTGGCTCACTGAGAAGCTGTGGTTTATTGAGCATTTTGAGGTCACCTGCTGAGATCTACCTCCCAGCTGTTGGAGGCTGTTGTGCAGCATCAGTGACAGGTCTCAGACCTGGGAAGGGTTGTTCCTTCACCGTCCACTCCCTGGATTCATGTTGCCCGTGCACCTCCTGAGTACATCTCTTGCAGCTTCTGCAGGATGGCAGGAGGGAATGTGGTGCTGTTCTGGCTCCTCTCAGTGTGCATTCTGGAGTCCAACCCTGGACATGGGGAGAGCAGACTTAAGGCTGCTCAGGGAACTAGTTACTAAGCTTACCTGGGAAAATGCTTCTGGAGGTGCTGGGATCCATCAGTGCTGGTCACCACCTCATAAGGGCACAGGGGCAGGCAAATCCAGACAAGGCAGAAGGCTAACTTGGATGATCAGAGATCTTCCGGAGCTAACAAAAAAAAAGTGTTTGTCCAATGGGAGAAAGGTCAGGTGATGTGGGAAGAATACAAATTTGCTGCTCACCACTGTAGAGAGAAAATTCTGGCTGACAAAGTTCATCTGGAGTTGAACATTGCCAGTACTTGTGTGGGACAACAAAAAGATTTTTTTTAAAAATTAGTCAATAGAAAAAGGCAATGTAGAATGGCTCAGTGCATTGAGGGACCATGGTTGTGAGAATGATAAACTCCCAGCAGACCCTGAACTTGTGTGGGATCTGTTGCTCCATCTGGATCCTCATGAGTCTATGAGGCCACATGGGATTTATCCAGAAATACTAAAAGAACTGGTTGATGTCATTGTGAGGTCTGTCTTAATGATTTTGGAATGGTCTTGGTCATCTGAAGAGGTCCCAATTGACTGGAAACTGTCTAACCTTCCAGAAGGGCAAGAAGGATGACCCTGGAAACTATAGGCCTGTCAGTCTCAATTCAGTGCTTGGTAAAATAATGCAGAAAATTATTCTGGGAGGTATTGAAAAATACCTGAAAAACAATGCAGTGATTGGTCACAACCACCATGGCTTAATGAGGAAAAGTCCTGCTTAACCAACCAAATTTCATTTTAGGAAGTGACCCACTTAGATGATTCAGGGAAGCCAGTTGATGTGATGTATTTGGATTTCTGTAAAGCTTTTGATGCTATCTTTCAGGACTCTTCTGGAGAAAATGTCCAGCCCACAGCTGGACAAACACATCATGTGATGGGTGAGCCGCTGGCTCATGGGTCAGGCACAAAGGGCTACAGTGAATGGGGTGACATCAGACTGATGTGACCTGTCACTAGTGGGGTTCCACTGGGCTCCATCCTTAGCCCTGTGCTCTTCAACATCTTTATAAATGACTTGCACAGAGGACTTGAACATATAATAAGTAAGATTGATGATACTAAACTGGGAGGAGCTATTCGCTCCCTCAGAGGAAGAGAGGTCCTCTAGGGATACTTTGATGAATAATAGGTCTGGGGAACTACCAACTGTGTGAAATTTAACAAGGGCAAGTGCTGGATTCTGCAGCTGTGATAGACTGGGAAGTGAGCTGCTGGAGAGCAGTGCTGTGGAAAAGGACCAGGGAGTCCTTATGGAGGGAAAGTTGAATATGAGTGAGCAGTGCCCTTGCAGCCAGGAGGGCCAGCTCTGTCCTGGGGTGCATCAGGCACAGCATCAGCAGCTGGGCAAGAGAGCGGGTTGTCTCACTCTGCTCTGCACTGGGGCTGCCTTGCCTCAAGTGCTGGGGCCAGTTCTGGTCCCTTCAATACAAGAAAGATACAAAGCCTACCAGAAGGTGTCCGGGAAAGGTCAACCAAGATGGTGAAGGGCCTGGGAGGGAGGCCAAAGAAGTGGCTGAGGTTCCTTGGTCTGTTCAGCCTGGAGGAGACTGAAGGGAGACTTCATTGCAGTCTACAACTTTCTCACAAGTGGAAGAGGAGGGGCTTGCACTGATCTCTTCTCTGTGGTGACCTGGACAGGATGTGAGGGAATGGCTTAAAGTGTCAGGGGATGCTTAAGCTGGACATTAGAGAGAGGTTCTTTGCACAGCAGGCGATTGGGCACTGGAACACGCTTGCCAAGGAAGTGGTCGCAGCACCAAGTCTGACAGAGTTCAGGAAGTGTTTGGACAGCACTCTCAAGACATGGTGTGATTCTTAGGGGTGTTTTGTGCAGAGTCAGGAGTTGAACTTAATGATCCTTGATGGGTGCCTTCCAGCTCAGTGTATTCTATGTTCTCTGGTGGACAGAAACTCATCCCTGTGGCTCTTGGCTGTAGCATTGTACTCTGAGAGTGAGGAAACTGCCTTGTTTATTTACCAAATATTCTTTCATCAGTTTCCTCTCCAAGTTAGCTTCCAAGGGGGTAAATGTCCTGCAGAGGAGGAGAAGGTGTAGGTCAGTAGTACCTGACATGGGCAAGGAGTGTTGCTGGAAAGAACCCAGACTGGGGTAGGAGACAGAAAGATGGCTGATTCTCAAAATGTGCCTTGAGAGCTGTTGTGAATTTAAGAACAGTATTCCCCAATTTAATGTTCCCACTGAAACACTCCAAAACATGTGCCACTTGCTCCCTTCCCCCTCCCCCTCTCTATGGGGCATCTGGAGTGGAGAGCTGGAGGCACAAAAGGCAAAGATCAAGGGTTGACATAACAACAGTTTACTGGAAACAGTAAATGAAACAAGAAAACAAGGTGTAACAGATACAATATTAATAACAGAGTGTACAAGGGAGGTGAATGATTCACATGCAAGCACTCACCGTGTGGAAACCAGCAATACCCTGACTACTCCACCATGTTACCTGACCAGAATGGACGCCCTCCCCCCCACAACCTGTTCCTGAGGTTGTGCAGAATAACATCAGGCTCCTAGGCATGCTCCTCCTGGCTATTGCAAAAATTAACTGTCCTGGCCAGAATCAGTATGTTTTCCATCCCTTATGCTATACCATCTATATCATGTCCAGGTCCTACACCTCCCAGCTACATATATATGTATGTATATATATATATGTAAATGCAAGCATGAGTATCATTTCCGTAGTCAGTGGCTGTCCTTTCAAGATGTCTGTTGAGTTCATGTAGTCCATGACTGTGGGTTCTGTCTGTTCTAGATGTCTTCCAGGGCAGAAGGGCTTGCTTTCACCTGGTTGCAGTCTGCATCAGGAGCTCGTGACTGGTATATCTGGAACAGTGCATATTCATTCTCTATAGTAGTTATGGCATACAGTGACAGTGCCATTCAGAAAACAGTATTGTACAATTGAACATTACAGACCATTCTCACCCAAAAATTGAATGCCATTGGGGTACACCTCATGTTTCCCTGTCCCTCTACATTACTCATCAAGTGCCATCAGGTCCTTGAGCAAAACCAATCCCATGAATTGATTTGCCTTTCCAGAAAGGTGGGACCAGTCCTGACCATATTCCCTAACACATTTCTCCTTCATACCACAGGGTCTTCATCCCCTGCTATAGTGCATAGTAATTTTGATTGGGCAGGACCAGCTTGATTGCTAGAACCTCTTGTATTAACTAATAAGGTGGCCTTTGCTAAATGCAGATCCCCGTGTTTGAAGGTGCCACCACCCATTGCTTTCAAAGCCATTTTTTGCAGTCCATTGTACTGTTCAGTTTTCTCAGAGGCTGGTGCATAATAGGCAATGTGTTATAACCACTCAATCCTGTGCTCTCTGGCTCATGTGTCTGTGGGACTCCTTTTGAGCTGAGTCCCATTAGTCCAACTCACTTCTTTCTAGGGTGCCATGTTGCTGCAGAAGTTGCATCTCAAGGGCCAGGATGGTGTTTTGGGCCTTGGTGTGAGGCACAGGGTTCATTTCCAGACACCCAGTGGTTATTGCCACTATTATAAGCACTTGTATGGCTTGCCTTGGTGTGTTTGCAGCAGTGTGATGTAACCAGTTTGCCAGGCTGCCCCATATCTGTGTTTCAAACATCACCCACCGTACCAGAGAGGCCTTACCTGCGTGGCCTGCTCAATCACAGCACATGTTTCACAGTTATGGGTAACTGAGGGGCATTGTCCATGGTTAAGTCTGTCCCTTGATCACAAGCCCACATGTATGTTGTGTCTCTTACTCTCACGACCTGAGGCATCTTGAGCCCACTGAGCCAGAAACAATTTGCTCTCACATTGCCAGTCCAGATTAACCCGAACTACTTTAATCTTGGTGGTCTGATCCACCTCTCCATCATTGCGATGCTCCTCAGCATCCTGACTCTTGGGTGCATGTGCATGTCATGATGTTCTTCTACAGCCAGCTTCTCTACCAGGGCAGCGATTTCTTGCCACAATTCATCAGCCCAGATGGGTTTCCATCTGTACTGCCAATTGGCCTTTTTCTGTCAGTCCTGTCACCCAACATAGCATTGCCCACTATTGACAAGTCGGCGTAGGGGTAGATTGCTGGCCATTTCTCTTGTTTAGTGATACCTAAAGCCAACTGGATGGCTTTCAGCTCTGCAACCTGGCTTGATCCACCTTGTCCTTCAGTAGCTTCTGTGACTTGTCGTATAAGGCTGTCTATGGCTGCTTTCTATTTTTCATTTGTTCCTGTGATAGATATAAAAGAAACCGTCAGTAAAGAGATTGTATTCCTTTTCATTTGTAGGTAGCTGATTGTATGGTGGGCCCTCCTCAGCCTGTGTCATCTTCTCTTCTGATTATGATGATGATTGTAGTCTGAAATTTTCAGCTTCAGGCCAATAAGTGATGACTTCCAAGACCCCTGGGTGATGGGGATTTCCTATTCAAGCTCTCTGTGTGGTCAGAGTAATCCAGTTACTCCACAGTGGCAAGATGTGTTGCAGGGACTTTCTCTTTGAATATCCAGCCCAGTGCTGGCAGCTGGGGCCTCAGGAGGGGCTGTGCTTCAATGCCAGTCACTTCTGAGGCAGCTCCAACCCCTTCATAAGTTGCCAGTTGTCTCTGCTTCATTGGGGTTGTAGCTGGTCTCAGATCCTTTGTATGTCAAAGTGTTTCTGTTCCCAACTCCAGAAAACCAGGGGTTGTCGTCAAATCTCCGGATGTACCCTTTTGCCAGCAACTCCCGGAAGGACCGTTCTTCCTGGTTGCACTGTGGAGCATATTTTTTACATTTCTCATGACTGGCTACTGCATGAGCAACCTCGTGTTTAATTTGTTCAAAATCTTATTATTGGTCAGAACCCTGCTTGAAATTGTTCTTCTTTGGTATCACTTGATGGAGAGGTTTTAAAATCTGACTATAATCTGAAATATGCATCCTTCAAAAACCCACAGTGCCTAGGAAAACCTGTGTTTCCTTCTTGATGGTTGGTGGGGACATAGCTACTGTTCCAGTGACCATGTCCATTGGAATCTGATGGACATCCCTCTTGCCATTTTACTACTAAAACCTGAGTTTTCTGGGCAGGTCCCTTGATCTTACCTCGCTGTGTGGCAAAACCAGCCTTCAGGAGGATTTGGATTGTCTTCTCCCCTTTCTCAAAAACTTCTGCTGTGTTGCTTTGCATGATCATGTTGTCAATATATTGGAAGTATTCTAGGACCTCACCCTTTTCCTCACTTCCTTTTCCAGTGCAGTCTGGATTAGTCCAGGATAAATAATGGGGTTCTGTTTCCACCCTTGGGGAAGTCAGTTCCAGGTGTATGTCACACCACTCCAGGTAAAACACTGAGGCCTGCACCCTGCTGTTAAAGGAATGGAGAACAGCATGTTAGCAATGTTGATGGTGGCACAACTTCACTGCTTTGGACTCTAGCTCATACTGAAGTCCCAGCATGTTGGGAACAGTGGCACTCACTGGTGGTGTGACTTTTTTCAGGCCATGATAATCTGTTGGTCCTGGGCTTACACGCTGACCATATAGGACTGTTAAAGGGTTAACAAGTCTTGCTGACCACTCCCTGGCTCTCCAGTTCATAGATCATCTCGTGGGTGGAGGATCATCTCGTGGGTGGGGGTCACAGAGTCCCAGGCGGTGCAGTGTTGTCTATGGTGCAGTAGCCATGTGGTAGCAATTGTTTGTGTTGTTCTTCGACCTCAGCAGTCCCTAAACAGAGGGATCCTCTGAGACACCAGGCAAGGCATTCAGCTGTCTCGTTTCCTCTGTCTCCACAGCAGCTATCCCAAAAATCCTAACAATGCCTTTTTGGGTCCTTGAAATACCTACCCTCTTTTGGGGTAACCTATACTAAGGATGCACAGGGCCTCTGGGCCAGTCACAGTAGGGTGTTTTTGTCATTCATTTCCAGTCATGCTCTCTCCACCTTCCAGTGCAGTCAGCTGTTGGGATCCCCTTGGCACCCCAGAAAGAGATGGATTCTGTCCCCACATGTCTTGGTGGCATCAGGGTACATCATGTGCTGGTGTGAACTAAAGCCTTAGACACACTCTTGTGTGTCTGATGTGCCACACAGTCCAATAGATCTGATTGGCCCTTTCTTCTACCTGGCTGGGGCCTCTGTAGTTCTAGTAATAGTGTATGTTCCTCAGTTCTTGTAAATATGAGCTGGAGGTCCCTTCAAGCGGATCAGAAGTAACATCAGTCCTTATATTAAAAATTAACTCTGTTCTGGCCAGAACCAGGACAGGAGCACAAAGTAGGAAGGACAGAGAAACCCTGTCAAGATTCACTTACTAATTCACTACTTGTGAACTGGATTATTTGCAATACATTACTTGTGAAATTAAGTTATTACCATGCAGATCACACTCTGTGTGGGTGTGAGATTGTTGCAAGTACAGGCTGTCTCTGACCTTTTTTCAGAGAGAAAAAAATTAAAGTTTGTGCGTTGAGACTAGATAGATGTGAATGTTCTAGCAATATATTTAATTCCTCTCAGATCTGGTGTTAGTTTCTGTCTAATGGGATGTTTAAAAATTGTCTGTTAGACAGTCATTCTGTATGTCTTCTCACTTCAGATCCAGAAGTTTTGTGTTTTTATTGTTTTCTTAGAAACATCCTGATAAATGAATGTAGAAGGTAATCTTTGGCTGTGAAATTTAGTTTTTTCTATGTGGGAAGAACAGCAGTGTGGTTAGGAGGAAGTGTGGTCAAGTAGGAGAATAGAAGTGAAAGATGTGTGTCCTCCCCACCTCTCTGCACAGGCTTGCTGGCTATATCCAGTGAGTGCCCAGATGTACACCAGCCCTGCACCTTGGGGTCTTACAAGCAAGAACCTCAGGAGGGTCAAGTTACTCCTCCTGTTGTTGAAACTCAGTGGAAAATGTTGCAAGTTTTCTATCCTTTTCCTCAGAATTTTCAGCAGGTCCAAGTGGTCACACTCCTCCCCGTCTGGTGTGGTCCTGGCCATTCTGATAAGTGACCACACATTCGGTATTAGCTGTGGGTGCTGTGCACTTGCTTGACTTCACCACCTGGAGTAGCTTTTCTGATTTGGAAAGCAGTACTAATGAAGTAAAGTTAAAAGGTGCAGGGGTGGTGGGCAATTAGAAGAGAATAGGGAACATCCTGGATATCTTATCATGCATAAAAAACATGTTCCAAATCCTTGCCCACAGAAAACAAATTTAAAAGTAAGAACAGCTCTTTCAAATAGTGGAATTACTTATTATTTTGTGTATTCAGTAGCTGAGACCGATGGTAATTTAAATCTTCTTTCATTTACTAAAATGTTGGAATTAACTGCATGCAGAATGATAGCTCAATTTCCTAGAAAGACTCCTTGGAACTGAATGTGTGCTTATGTACTTCTTGCTGTGACGTGTGCTTTGTTCTCTGCACTGTGTGAAGCAAAAAGAGGTTTATTACCTTAATTTCACTTTTTTTTCCACTGCTCTTTTAGGAGTTTCTTTAAAGCCTTTTCACTTATTGGAGAAACTCAGGAACGAGAGAGAGTTTTAATCCACTTCTCCAGCAGATACTACCAGTGCAACCCAAACGCCATTTCTTCTCAAGGTAACTTTGTTTGTGATACTGAGGTCTCTATGAACATACGGTGTATGCCTGGAAAATGAAGCTGTGTAGTCACTGTACCACACTCTAGAGACTGTCTCTGGTAAGTATTGAAACCCTCAGCACGAAAGGTGTTCGATGTAAATAGGTCCTCAATGTAAATTCTCAGTTGTGACACTTCCAGATTTGTCCTCGGTTGTAGTTTCTGGTCTTGCTGGCTTCGGTGTGTGGGCGCTTGTACTCCAGCTACACTCGTGGACAAGAATAGGTCCCGTGTCAGGTGAAAGAGAGGCTGTTCGCTTTCTGTGCTCCATTCAGCACTTGCATGCACTGGCAGCAGGTGTGCCAGTTCTTGCCAGTTGTGGGGGTGAATTTTGGGTGCTGTATCCAGACCCTGGCATGGTTTCATCTCGACTAGCTAACATCAGTTATAGTGCTCCTCCATGCCAATGTTTTCAGTCAGTTTGGAAATAAATTATGGAAACAAACAAGTACATAGATCAAACCTGAGAAAACTGGGATTGCAGAAGAGGACAAACTGTCTGTTGGCATAACTGCTGTGTTCAGCCAAACATGCTGGCAGAGCCTTGTGGCCCTGTGATTGCAGCACATGCTGATCACACACTGAAGGAGGAGGTTGAAAAAGAAGGCAATCATCGGTTTAGCTGTACTTTAAGTTTCAAGTGTGAAAAGGAGCTGCTACAGTTGGAGGTAGGCTGTGCCTCCTTACCCCTTGCTTTGTGACCTACCCCTGTTGCAGTGAGATAATGTTTGGGCACTTCGCACCTCTTCAGCTTTACTGGCTGTCATGCGGGGGAGGGAAAAAGTTGGGAGTAAGACAGGATCTGCTTCTGTGCTGTCTCTGTACTATTGCCTTTCTTATTTCAAGAATGACTGCAGGCAGTCAGGTAGAAAAGTGCATCATGTCCAGAGTGAAATAATGACTTGCCTGATGATATGGCTACCTCACTCTAGTCAAGACTGCAAGAGGGATATTGTGGCTTTGGGCCCCAAGTAAGCATTTAAATCCTGCACACTTAACCCAGGATCCTAGTACTATGTACAGTTTGGGCACCACAGTATAAGAAAGATACAAACCTATCAGAGAGTATTCTGAAAAAGGATATGAAGATGGAGAAAGGTCTAGAGGGGAAGCCAAATGAGGAGCAGTGAGATCACATAGTTTGCAGAGTCTGGAGGAGACTGAGGGGAGACCTCATTGCAGTCTACAGCTTCCTTTATGAGGGGAGGAGGAGAGGCAGGCACTGTTCTCTTCTCTGTGGTGGCAGTGATAGGAGCTGAGTGAATGTCTTGAAAGTTGTGTCAGCAGAGGTTTAAGTTGGACATCAGAGAGCGGTTCTTCTCCCAGTGGGTGGTTGGGCACTGTAACAGGCTCGCCAAGGAAGTGATCACAGCACCAACCTGACAAAGCTCAAGAAGTGTTTGGACAATGCTCTCAAGCACATGGTGTGATTGGTAGGGATGTCCTGTGCAGAGCCAGGAGTTGAACCCCATGATCCTTGTAGGGTGCCTTCTAAACTTGCTTGGAAAGGTTATTCAAAAAGGGCTTAAAGTACTACTACTTTTTCTGAGTTGGGCACAAAGAAGAACTTGACAAAAGTTCCCAGAATGTTCACAACCAAAGTTTCCTAGCAAACCTTAGAAAATCAGGAATTTAAACCCAACATACAATCAAAATAATTTCACAGAGCATTGACTTAGTAAACTTAACTCATCCAGTCTTTATTACCCATATTTCAAAACAAAAATTAGGAGTAGAAAAGAGGAAAAAGAGACGAAAAGAAAGAGCAAAAACCAAGATGCAGATACTGCCCTCACTGCTAGTGTGGTTTCAGCTATCCAAAGACAATAGGGACACAACCACATGTCCTGGGGTCTGCTCTGGCTTCCTGTGGCAAGCAGCCCCCTGGGGCACTTCCAGTCATCTGGCCACTCCAGGGCTTGACTGAGGCTCCAGGGCCTCAGAGTGTGGGACATTGCTTTCAGTGTGCCAGTGATTAGTGGCAGTTCTGAACTAGAGGCGTCAGAAAGTGGGGTGTGGAGCAGTGCACCATCCCATTTTCTGCAGAGCTGCTCCCCCTACACACACATTTCAGTTGTTTTGAGCCAGTAATAATTTTCTTCACTCAGTCCTCCAACTCTGTTCTAAGTTTCTATGAATCTGGCTTATTGCTGAGGGTGTTGGCCATAGGACCAGCTTAGAAGCCCCTAGAGTGGTCTCTACCCAGCGTGGAGGCAAGGCAACATAAGCAACTGCACTTCTCCAAAATTAGGTCTAATTGAGCTCTGAATGAGGACTAAGCCAGAGGGGGAGAAAACCAGGATACCCACTCCTGTAATGCTGCACCCACTCCTTACACAAGAACAAATGTATTTTACTTTTCCGTTTCTGCACTGAAGTAAACGAAGAAGGAGGTGTTGATTCAAACTGTAATATTGGTATTAGCAAGCTAAGAGTGATAGCATGATTTTCTGTCTTGATTGCCTCATCCATGGGTGCTGCAAGACAGTTTTGATAGTTACTAAAAGATGAAAGAAAGACTGGTCTGGTTTGGCAGCTGTGTGATGATCTCATTGTTAATTTATTTAATTATGTATATTTCTTGATAAAACAGATTCTTATGAAGGGAACAGACTCAATTAGTCTGTGAGTCTCAGTTTCAGCTTCTTAAAGGTCCAGATGTGTTTTTGCATGTGACTGGTTATTTCTCTTTCTGCAGATGGAGTTCACTGTCTCACGTGTGCCATGATGCTGTTGAACACAGACCTCCATGGCCATGTGAGTATGCACAGCTTTGTGTAGACTGCTTCTATCCACACCATGCTGGGACTGGGTGGTCCTGTGGCAGTCCCTGTGGCAGTCCCTGTGGTGGCCTTCCTCTGAAGCCCCTGCAGACAGCAAACAGTGAGAAGGCTGCACTCCAGGCTATTGTCCTGGGCAGGCCTTTCTAGCATGCCTTGATCAGTCATGTGTAAGCTGGCATTGTGCCTGGTGTTCCCATAATGTCTGAGCATACACCCCCACCTTAGGGCCATCTTTCTGGTGTGATTACCATCCTTCCTGCAGCAGGTGCTGACCGGGAAGCTGTACTTGGGATTGGCTTCCCCTTTGCAGTATGTACAAACGTGTGGGAAAGCAGAATAGAGATGTGAGATGAAGAAGTTTTGGGAAGGTCAAAAAGGGAAAGTGATGTTTGCAGGCGTTCAGTTGCAGAGGGCATATCTGGTGAAGCAGTTTTGCACAGACAAATGATGGGTGTACTCAAAACCAAGAGAATGGAGGGGGGATATGAGCATACTGAGTGGGAGCCCTGTGTTCCTGTACTGCAGAGCTCTCTCCATTTCGTGTCTGGGTGAAATAGAATTCTTGTTTGAGTCCTCTTAGTCACACTGCTGCAGGTTGCCAGCAGCCTTAGGATGGGTATTTCAGCACCCATGATGAGATACACCTGCTATGCAAGCTATTCCCATGCTGATGGGAGGCTTCCTCTGCCCTGAAGTTAGGAAGGAGTGTGTAAAAACACAGGGAGCATGGCATTGTAGTATGCAAAAGCAGTGGTTTTAGCCAAGTGACTCTGGGGCTTCTCTCTGGCCCTCCACTGCAGTTGCAAGGGCTCTCCCAGGAGAGTTGGCAACTCTTACACATCAGGGGTTTTGGATTGGGCAGCAGGACATGCAGGCATCATGAGTCTGTCTCAACGGGCTACTTAGACTCTCTGGCGGTGCAGGTAATAAAACCAAGAGTTGTGTGTTCACAAGGCATTCTGAGATCCACCTCCCATTAACTGAATGCCTTTGTCTGCAGGTTGTGGAAGCAGGAGGGGATAGGGAGTTGTGAAGAATTTCTTTCTCTGAAGGCTTAGCCTTCCCTACTGAAGGACTGGATGTGGGGTGTACAGGAATGTGCTGCGGTTTGTCTCTTAGCACACATGGCTTCCCTTGAGGACACCTGAGTCTTTCTGCACAGGTATCCCACTCCCCAGAGTGGTGAGCAGCCTGGGGCTCCTGCTTTACAGTCTGCCTGGCCTCACCAAATAATGGTCATGCATTAGCCTAGCAGCATCTCCCATTGCTCCCTGTGATGCTTTAGTAGGCCGTACTGTCTTCAGTAGGTACTGGAATAAATTATCTGGCTCTGACCCATCATTGCTGCTGTTGACTCTGGTTGTTGCAGTGTGTAACTTTGGAAACTTATCCCACTGGCACTTGACAGTGTATTGTTATGTATATGCAGCTGTAGTGTAGAGACTCCTACTTACATTATGTGCGTGGGTGTGTCTTCATGCTCTCTAAAACCCCTCTGATTTCCTCTAATTTTGGTCTTCCTCTTACTGCTTTGCATTTTTCCACATAGGTGGTAAGTTTGGCATTTTTGACTTGGAATGCAGCCCTTGCAGATATACCTAATTGCCTGTTTCCTAACAAAGATAATGTTTTGCCCTATCCTTTACCGGGATTCTGCTGGAGCAGGAGGCAAATGGGTCACAGGGCTTGTCTATACACTGAGCGCTATGTATTACTGACATACTGATCATAAGCACAGACATTTCTATTTCGCAGTCAGCTCCACTGCTTGTAGGGCTGTAATGCAGCTGCCCTGCCTTCAGTTCACACTTGCTTTTAACTCTTGTAGATAAATTCTTACTTAATCCACTTTATGTTCCCTATCTTGCCACACTTATGTTTGTAACTAAACAGTTTTTGCTAGGTGTGTCTTGGAAATGCATGCTTGGTTTTCTGCACAGAGGTCATCACCCACATTAGTGCTAGAGAGTTTTGAGGTATCTCTAGACCACCAGGTACATCTTCTGGAACCTCTGTGGCACTGTATTTTAGCTTTGATCCTGCAGCAAAACAACCATTTGTCTGCAATGTTGGCTTTGGTCAGCATGGGGAAGCTGCCAACTTCTGCTTGGAGGAAACAAATAGAAGTAGGCTGAAGTTGCAGGGAGAAAGCAAAGCACTTGTAAGTCTGCTAGACCAGCTCCAGTCTGCACCTGAAGACTGAAGTTACAGCTGTGTTCTCTAAGCTTTGCAACTGTAGAGCCAGGGTTACAGCCCATGTGTGTTGTCAGGAGCCATGCTTTTGTGGGAAGCCGTTAATTGTTCCATGGTTTCTGCTTGCCTTCTTTTTGTGGGTTTGTGCTGGCTGCAGGCTATTAGATGTTCCTTATTGGCAAGGTGAGGCTGATGGCCAAGATTTGGTGGTTTTCCTGATCATATGTTATGGAAGGGAAATAGAGGATATGCACTTTAACCTGTCATGTAATTCGTAACATTGAATGGCCTGTGTTACCAACTGGTGCCCTTCCTTGGGCTCCAGTCCAGTGTTATTTTGGACTCCTGCTCCTAGCCAAAGACAAAGCTCACGCAGAGCTCTTCTGCAGACAAAACATGCCCTGAAAGTGGAAAAGTCTTCACTTCCATCTCCTGACTGACAGTGGTGCTATCCTCAAAGATACCATGACTGTCACAGAGCCCTATTTTCCCCTCTGTCTATATCGTGTTCCACCGCTCAGGCTGCTTTCCTTTTCTCAGATACCTTTGGTGTCCTTTTTCAATGCAGTGTTGTAATTGTTGCTGGCTCACATGGCTCCCTGCATATTAAGCAGGGGCCTTCTAGCACCTGGGGAACTGAGTACAGACACTTTTTCTGAGGGGTGATGGAGGCAGGGATTCAAGAGTATTTTAGGGCAGCCTCAAACTTCTGGATGTAGTTTGGCTCCTACACAGACATGTAGGGACAGCCAAACTGTTCCTTTCTGTTTGTGGCTTGTTTGGGCAACTTTCAGTCTGAGACTTAGACAGAAAGAGAGGAAAGAGAGTGAGCCTACAGAAATGTCAAAGCAGCCTCAGCCTGTGAATCTGAAAAGGTAATGGCCATGCCTGGGTATCACACTCCACTCACAGCGGTTGCTGAGGGGGCATTTGAAATTGTAAGAGAAGGGTCTAGAAGGGGCCTCAGTCATGTGTTTCCTGGTGCCCCACAGCAGATTTAAGTAGAGCTTTTCCATCAGAGACTGGTAGAGCTTCTGGAGGCCTGGGGATATAAGGCACCATGCAATACCAGAGATCTTCATGATTGTCCTCTTCATTACCCCCAGTATTAAGCTGGTTTTTTTTTAGGGGGTATATGTGGGGGCCTTTGGTTGCAAAAGTACTTTCCCTTTTCTAGCTATATGCATACAAGGACGCTCATCTATGAGTAATCTCATGAATGTGTTCTTAGTGCTGCCTGGCTTGGGCTTAAAGGACAGCAGGAAGATGCATTTATTCTGATGTTGCTTGTTCCTGTCATTATGGAAAGCAGCAGGAATATGATGTTGTGTTTCTCTGACACTCCTTTCAGAACATTGGGAAAAAGATGACCTGCCAAGAATTCGTTGCTAACCTCCAGGGGATGAACGATGGCAAAGACTTCCCGAGAGGGCTCTTGAAGGTAAGGAATTAACTGCAGAATGTGAGTTTCATTTCTACTGAAAGAGGGTTCAAAACAAAACACCTGTCTTGCATTTTCTGAATCTTAATGTCAGACATGACAAGTGGTGCGCACATTTCTCCTCCCAGAACATACATAATATATATAATGTTTATACTCTTGTTTTCCCTCTTGCCTTCACTCGATAGTGAAGGAGACTCTCTGCAGGACAGAGAGGTGAAACTGAGCTGCAGCAGGTCTCGCCCCAAAGCTGTGTGCTTTGTAAACTTCTGTGGTCATGCCAACCCAGAGTGCTGTCTCCTGATTACAGCAGACAGAAGCAGCCAGTTGGCTCTGAACGCGAATACATTAAAGGTTAAGCCTCATCTCTGTGTACAATCCGGAAGGCGTGTGTGTTTTTTCATCAAAGGTGCTTTGGGGTATTCACATTAGAGCTGGAGATGTAATTTCAGATTATAATGTGCTGTCTGGCGCAGGCTGCATTGCTTCAGCTTTTGTTCATTAAGTTTGTGCTAGGAGTTAAATCTGAGGAATGAGGGAAGAGGCTGAGCAGGACAAACCTTGTTTTATTGTCAGTAATAATGAGAATGTTTCGCTTTTTTGTCTGATTGCTATCATGAAACAGCACTTTGTTTAAATGAAGGCAGGTGTGCATACACTGGAGTTCCTAATTTATTTATTTTTTTATAATGGAAATAAAAATAAGAGGCTGCCAAATCTGAGAGCTGACCCAGTGCCTGTTGAAGCCAACCAAATGAGCTGCCATCTCTTGTGTGAGTTTTGTGTCAGGATCATTGTGAAATACAAATATATCTGCATAGTTGAAGCAGCAGAGTTTGTCTTTTACTCTTGGTAATTTCTTCATTTTCTTGATCTTCTTCAGGGAGATTTTTGTTGGACCTTCCTGCTTCAGTTCTTATTAAGCAATGGGGAATATTAAATTTTAGATTTAATGTTTTTAATTTTTGAATCTGTATATCTGTCAGCAGCCACACTTAAATTACTTTTCCCCCCAAAGGAATCTCATTTCTCTGTTTGTCATAGAGGGATGTATTGAGATTAATTTGCAGGCTAATTACAGCCCTTACTGAATAAATAGATCTCCAGATTGTGTTTAAATAACCTGAGTGTACTGACAAGAGACTTCCAGTGGTGCTCACCTGCTGTTTGTTTTTCTCCTGACAGAATTATGCAGTTGGGGCTGTACTTTCATGTTTAGTGCTCACCTGCTAATGCTAGGCATGTCTGACTCTTCACCCAAAGCAAATACCAGGGCTCAGGATTTTTTGGATGTAGACAGATGGAAGAAGTTTGGTGTTGGTGTCCCATGTTGCTTAAGGCTTTCTGACCTTTTCTGTGTGCTGCCTTGATGGCACCCAGCTTTGTTTTCTCATCTGGCTTGTCTGAAGATTTGATAAACTGACCCGTGTTTTTTTATTTATTAGTGGAGGGGAGTGGAGTGAGTAAATTGTGCTACTGTGTTCACAGCAGCCATGCTGCCACTAAATGTGTGATTACAAAGAATTAGCAGAAATTAATTTTTTGCATTAGTCTCAATAAATTAAGTTCACAGCATGTTTCTTCAGCACAGCACCAAAGTGCATGTAGCTTGCTGCTGCATTAGCTGTGTAGCCGCTGAGCATGGGTGAGGCTGCAAGCCTTCTCCCTGCATCCTTGCCTAGCTGCCTGGGAGAGGAAGAGTGGTTTCCACAGGGTGGCAGTGTGTCCCTGTGGGAGTGAGGTCCTGAGCACCCACTGGTGACTAATGCAGACCAGTGGTGAAGCAAATGGGCTTTTCTGCCTCTGCAGTCTCTCCATGTTGTCCTCGTGGCCCTGCTGCACCCTTGCATGAAGCTCTGTAGCTCTGCTGAGCCCCCGAGCAGTGGTGGAGGGGAAGGAATGCTGTGGAGGACTGAGTGTTCATCCAGGGCTTGTGAAGCTATGTGCAGCATTTATTGTGGATTTAGTTCTCAGATTCAGGTGTGCAAATGTGAATGCTTGTGCTATCCAGGACGGCTGGTTGACAGTCATCAGTCAGACATTGCCTTCAGTCTCTCCCTTCACTGTATGGAGTGTGTCCCTGAGTGTTTCATCTGGATAGGAAAATAGCACATCAAGGAACAGACATCAACACGTTAGGAGGGACACACTTTTGTGTGATCAGCCTCAGAAAACTTGGGACATTAGATCAAGTTACTCCTTTCTTTCACCTCCATGGGGGAGCTATCTCTATGTTTTATTAAGTTTTTTTTTCCTAACAATGAGAACACTTTTGGTACAAACCACAAGGCCTTCATGACCTGATTCTCTGTGTGTCACTAGTTGTGCTTTGAGGACAGATTATTTCACTCTGGTTTGAAAGTAGAAATGAGAAATGCTAATGTGATCTTGCTCACCTTGTGTCTTGCTGTCTGTTTATTTAACATTGAAAAAGATTTTGCTTTTGTACGCCAGTCTGCACAAAGATTCATTGCCTTTTTCCTCACTCCTTTAGTCAGATCCAAGGTTGCTTTTGCAGTTGAGACTCATAAAGACAAATATGCCAAACTGTGATTAAAAGTGCACTTTTCCTCATGGGGTCTGCTTGTAGTAATACATAGATATGTATATATATATATGTAGAAAGGGAAGCCATGGCTAGGATCTCCCTCCTTGGAAAGAAAACAAAATCAGTCTGACATTTTGGCAGTGTCAAGAACCTCATGTTTACAATGTAGGAGTGGTTTCTTTCTCACATGCTCACAGCAGTTTTAATCTTCTGTAGTGGTACCGTCTTCACAATTATATGCTAGGGAACTGTACTGTGTGAGCATAGCCTTCACAGCTGGGTGTCACAAGATTTTCTGGAATGAAGAGGAGATTTGCTTGGAAGGAGCTTGATTTTGGCCATACATTCTTGCTTCAATTCCTGAGGGCAGTGTGGTCCCCACAAATAAAGTGCTGGTATGGTGCTGGACACAATGTTTTCCTGTTGCCATCTTGAGACAAGGTGTGTGGGGGTCCACTCCAGGAAGGTGGTATTGACAAGACCTTTCATATGTAAGGAGAGGAAATGTCTTCTGTGGTCCACAGAGAGCCTGTGAGAAAGCATCACTGAGGAAATGGATCTCTGCTTTTGTTAGGCAGTATTCTGGGAGGGGTACTCTGTTGTTAGGCTGTGTGCAAAGTACCACCTGTCCTGCGTAAATAAATGTTCTCTGCATTTACAGCATCCAGCACACGTCATTCCTGGAATCACAGGCATCGCCCATCCTTTGACATTGGCTGACTGGTAGTAGTGCTGTCCCATGATATATGAAGTGGGGAAGTCATACCTGGCTGTGTGTCTTTTGGAGGTGGTAGCTCTTCTCTGACCTGTTGTACTGTCTGGGAACCTCCATCATGCTGAGGTACCTGGGATGCACTTGGCTAGACTCATCCTTTCAAGGACTGCTGATGGAGATAGGATGCCAATCCTGCATTAAAAATCTGCATTTTCTCCAAGGGTGTTTTTTGGGTAGGCCTTATCTCCTGCAGAAACACTGTAATGAAGTGACCAAATTAACTTGGAGTTGCTGGTGCTGAACTCTTCTGAAGAACCTGTCCTTAATTTCCTAAATGATCTGAATTCTTGATTAGGATTCCTGGGATATGCAATTTCCTATAGAAGCTGCAAAGTAGGGTTTATCTCATGTTGCTGTCAGTTCCCTGCACTTTAATTACTGGGTGTTTTTGCCACTGTCTTTCTGCCTCCTCTCGCTCTCCCTCTCTCTTTTTTTTTTTTTTTTAATTCCCTTTGAAAGCCCTCCAAAGCAAATACTCAATTTGGAGAGAATTATTGGCATCTTGCTTTATCCATTCCAAACATTTCAGGTATTTAGCAGAGAGAATGAGCATCAGGTGGCTAACTTCTCCCTGCACAGCCTCAGCCCCCCTTTACAGAGAGGAACTCACACGAATTGGACTGCTGTGTGCATCCTAATTGCTCTCATGAACAGTCTCTGTACTTCATCCATTTCACGGTTTTTTGGCAAGAAATTCCCACCTTTGAGGGAAACCTGATGAAGTTGGGGAGATGAGAGCGTGTGACAGCGTGCCAAGATGGCCCCAGGAGGACCGGCATTGACTGCTGTAAAACCCTGCAGCAGTGAGCAGAGGAGGGAGAGGACCAAGTGCCTTTGCTTCGCTGAACAAGACAGAGCTCTGGCTCCTTGTTTCTTCCCCAAAATAAAGTTTTTTCTCTTAATAATACTTCTGTTGGAAATAGTATTTTTGGGCCATTTCTTATCTGTATGAAATAGAAGATCTGTTACAGAAGGCCCCTTTCAGCTGCCAGGAGACAACAGAATCTAATCTGGCGGTATAAAAATTGGAGAATGCAGGATTAGATTGTTAATCCTTGTCTTAAACAGTTGTTTGTGAAAGCATACTTTCTTTTCACTCTCAGAGGAGCCACTGATCCATGGGGAACTGTAGGTGGCTGTAGGGAACACCTGGCTTGTCTTCACTCTTCTCCATTCTTGCTGAGAACCTTCTTGCCGTGATAACCTTTGTTTCCTTCAGCTTGGAGTTTTTTGGGTGTTGTCACTTGTCCTGTTCAAGAGCAATAACACTTAAAGGATGCCTGTGCAGAACTGAGAATTAGACTAGGTTATGATGGTGTGTGTATTGCTTTGTGTCCCTTGAATTACAGAGATTCCTGATACCTTCCTGCCCTGTTGAAATGCAAATATATTTTCTTTTTATATTTCAGGAGCTTACCTCAGTGCATAAAAAAAGAAAAATCTATAATCTATATATTTTTTCTCAAGTCAAACCTAGATACTGAGTTGAAGAAAGCCTTATAATAACAAAAACCTAATACCAGCTGTCTCTGAGCAGGGAAAGCAGAACTTCAAATAAGACTTAAAACATAAAATTTTTTGGAGGTGATCCAAGAATTAGGATTGCTCTGCATAGTCCAGGGGTGGTACAAGGGGTTGCTTATCTTACTAGAAAGCAGGCTCAATTTCAGGATGGAT